AATGATGGAGTGTTGTGGTGGGGCCCATTAAACTCCGCCGACCAGAGGTCTCGGCATATACTGTTGACTGAACCCTGGCTTGAACCTCGTGTGAAAGGTGCATCGAAAAGCTCCTTCAAGACAAATATCGGAGTCCCTCAAGGGGACAGTCTCTCTCCAGTGTTTTTCACCATTTACCTGGAGGCTGCTCTCCGGGAACTACGACAGGAGCTGCCATCTCGCCCTACTGTGGACAATGACCTGCCGCTGGATATCGCATACGCGGACGATGTTGATTTTGTGAGCCAGGGTGAGACGTTTCTCAGTGAAGTTGAACAACAAGCTCCAGCAGTTCTTGCAAGATGGAACCTGAACGTTAATCCCTCCAAGACAGAGCATACCACCGTCGCCCGATTTCCCGATAGGAACCAAGAAACGTGGCGTACTGTCCGCAATCTAGGCTCCCTCCTGGGTGACGCCGAAGATGCTGCTCGGAGGCGTCAACTGGCAGCCGCCGCCTTCAACTCACTCCTCAAGATCTGGACCCGAAGGCGCCAGATCAGTGAAGGTCTTCGGCTGAGGCTCTACAACGCCTATGTCATCCCAGTCCTTACCTACAACTGCGGCACTTGGGGCCTACCGATGTCGGAGATCGCGCGAATGGATTCGTTCCACAGGACCCAGCTAAGCAGCATCATCGACATGCGGTACCCTAAACGAATTAGCAATGACACTCTGTATAAGCGCTGCGGAGCTGTCCCCATCAGCGAGATGATCACAAGGCAGCGCTACAGTCTCGCTGGCCATATCTTTCGTTTGGCCCCAACTGCTCCTCCACAGTTGGCAGTGGACATGTATCTTCGCCTGGCCAACGACGAGGGCACTGAACGCTTCAGGGGTCGACCTCGGACGACTTTGGTAACGGTCTTGCAGACGGAACTGTTATCATGGCATGGACTTACACTCCACCAGCCGCTAGATGTCGACGCAGTCCGCACAATGGAGGCGGACCGACAGGCATGGCGTGGAGCCCGCCCCACCTTACAGGACTGACCAGACATGTTGTATGCATATTCTATTGTATTTTATACTTTGGATGAAGTTTTCCATTAGTCATATTGGTATTGTTGCTAACGGCTTTTGTTGACGTCACTTCTGTCATTTCATTGTATCGTATTACTCTTCAGACATCAATCCTGAATGGCATAAGCGAAAGTGGCACCCCCGCCACCTACGCGGACATGCTTATAATAATAATAATAGGGTAGCAGTGGAGATTGGCTACTCAGGATTGGCGCCAATTAGGCTTGGGGTGGGAGAAGCAGGAGCATAATCCCTGAGGAGGCTAGAGGCGGTCGGTTGCCCAGTCCCAGTCAGACTGCCTAAGGTGGTCATAGACCTTCTTCTTGAAGGTCTGCATCGACTTCTGGGAGGGGCGAGCACTGAGAATAGAGGCTGGGAGGAAATACCAGGTGTCAATAATACAGTGGGGGAAGGACCGAAGGACATTGTTCCGAGACTGAGGTGGGACAGTCTTGGTCAGCTGGAAAGGATGGTGGCTCGCAATTGTGCGCACGCTGGCTCGGGTGCGGGCCCGGGCTGGGGCTGGAGCTGGCGCGGGTAGGAGGGCTGTGATCATGGCAGGGCCAGTCAGATACTGGAGCTTGAACAGGTAGCAGAGGGCAGCAACAGAGCGACGGATGTCCAGGCTGGGCAGGTAGCAGCCATCACCTATGACGTGGTGTGCCCTGCGTTGGATGGCTGTGAGCTTGGCCAGTGTGGAGGGTGCTGCGCTCATCCGTACCAGCATCCCATACTCCAGGATCGGCCGAACAAACCCACCGTATACTACGGCACGGCATCGTACGTTGAGAGCCTTGGCAGCCTCGCGGAAGAAGCAGAGTCGCTGCGCACCGCGTATTGCGAGGGACCGTATGTGCTGCTTGAAGCAAAGCTGGCAGTCAAATGTTACTCCTAACAGGCGGAGCTGATCCACCTCAGGTACGTCTGTCCCCTGGAATGTGATAGAGGGAACTGGGTGGTGGGATCGTCGGTGGGTGATCGTGAGGGCTTGTGACGTTGTCGGCTCAAACCTGATTCGCCCGAGGGTGCCCCAGTGGGCAAGTGCGTCAACAGCCTGCTGGAGCGTTGCGACTCCATCTGGGATATTGGCTCGGGTTGTGATACACTTATATACCGTGGTGTCGTCGGCATATACTTCGAGTTTAGCCTCTTCAGGTAGGTGGTCCTCTGCGTCGTTGATGTAGATCAGGAAGAGCGTCGGGCCGAGGATGCTGCCCTGCGGCACACCTGACTGGATGTCACGGGTAGTAGAGGCCTGGCCACCTACGACAACTTTGATCTTGCGGCTAGTGAGATAGCTCAGCAGCCAACAGAGCAGTGACCCTTTGACACCGTATTCCTCTGCCTTGTGAAGGATTCCTGGGTGTGAGACCTTGTCGAAGGCCCCAGCTTTGTCCACTGCAAGCACCTGGACAAGGCCTCCCTGGGCAGCTGTATGGTGCCACTCATGCTGGAGTGCGATCAGAAGATCTGACGTGCCAAGCCCGGCGCGGAAGCCAAATTGCCGCGACGACAGGATAGAATTCTTCTCCAGGACGTTGGACAGACCACGGTTGATTATCGACTCCATGCATTTGGACATGACAGACAACAGGGAAAGTGGTCGGTAATTCTTGGGATTGGATTTTGACCCTTTTTGTGAACCGGCACAACATTTGAAAGTTTCCAGGTTTCAGGTTGATAGCCATTGCGGAAGCACAGGGCAAATAGCCGGGAAAGTGGGACAGCCAATGGTTCGGCGCAGATCTTCAGGACCCTGGCAGGTATTGAGTCAGGTTCAGTGGCCTTGCTGGGGTTGAGAGCAAGCAGGGTACGGCGGACTGTGGCAGGGCGGAAGTGGATTGTAGTGAGCGAGTTCTGGGAGCGTGGGCGAACAGGGGGCATTGTGCAGGAGGTGTCAAAGTCATTCTCAAGGCTGCATTTATCAGCGAAGTACTGGCATATGAGTTCGGCTTTCTCGGTATTTATGGTGTGCTCATTGCCTTGGCTGTCGACGAGAACTGGGATAGAGCTGTCTCTACCGAGCCCTCCGGAGCGCTTGATCAGGCCGCACCACTCCTTATCCTGGAGGCTGCCTGTTGCAAGCTTCGCTCTGGTGCGCTGGAGATGTTCTTGCTTAGTGCTGGATAGTCGCTGCACAGAAGCCAAGCATGCCCGTCTATACTCTGCCTGAAGAACAGGATTGGTCGAGTGCTTGCGGAGTCGGCGCCATGCCTGACGTTTGGTGGTAACAGCAGCTGAGCATTCGGGAGTCCACCAGCTAGGGTCTCCTGGTCGCATCTTCAGGACTTTCGTTGGGATGAACCATCCCATGCCCTCAAAAATACGCCTAGTTTCATTACTGCAGTAGGAGTCAAGATCATCAGTGATCAGTTCGTTCCACGCGGTTGCTCGGAAGAAGGCTGTGAGCCGAGGCCAATCAGCACGTTGGTAACGCCAAACGGTCCGGGTGGCTCGCAGATCATGGGATGGAGTTAGCTGGAAGTCGGTCGTGATTACTGCGTGGTCTGATCGACCAAGGGGTGGGTACATGGTGGTTTTAACCGCACCGGGGACATCCGACATGACTAAGTCAAGGGTATTCCCGCCTCGAGTGGGATCTGACACATGCTGCTCAAGTTTGTGGATGTAGCACAGGTCTTCGGCGGCTTCTCCGGCTGCTGTTGTGCGGCTGCTGCCAAGCCATTCATGGTTGTGGACATTAAAATTGCCTGCCACGACAATGTGGGAGCAGGACTGGCGGGCAATGTAAACATCAGATTCGAGCTGTGTGAACATAGTCGTATCATGGTCAGGGCAGGTTCCAGGCTGGTAAGCTGCACATACTGCCATTCGTGTTCCTGTGTGGGTGGTGATGCTGACCCATAGGACCTCCTGGCCCGCAGTGTTTATATTTTAGTTCTTTATAGGGGATACCAATCTTCAGCCAGATGGATACACCTCCGCCCTGTGCCGTTCTGTCCCGACGTATAGGTGGGTAGTAACCTGGGATTGCTACCTCTGCTTGGGTGGCTTTCTCCGGGGAGAGCTTTGTCTCTGTGACGATGGCCATATCCACACCAACGTGCGTTAGCAAGCGTTGGAGTTCTCCAATTTTGTTGTAGACGCTAAAGGCGTTTGTCAGCAGCAGGCGTAGCGGTTTGGCACACATCCAATCCCCATTCATTTTTGCCAGCACCTTTTGAACCTTGACTTCGATGAGGACGAGTTTTGTCATCAGACAGATAAATTTGTATGTAACACGTGTACTTTACGTATGCAGGGCTGCAGGGGCTGCAGATTGCATGCTGCAGTCCCTTATGCCAAGTGTTGCATTTCACTTGCCACAACTGTAGTACATATTTTTGGCTTGCAGTTAAGTACAGTAGAGAGATCATAGAAACAGGGCAAGGAAGAAGAGCTAAAACAGCAGCGACGAATGCGTGACCCATACCCATAGAAAGACTGAAATGGGGAAAACGTTCAAGTGTGCTGAGTAGATTTAAGAAGCGTGAAATGTTGTGTGATAAAACGGACAACAAATGGGCATAACTTCAAGATGGTCGGGAGGCTGAAGTGTCTTCTTCTTCTCAGTAGCATTGCATTCTTGTCTCCGAGGAAACTGTACATTGTAGTTGTCTTTGCTTTTCTTTGTCCTATTTAGCTACCTGCATTCCAATGTCTACATCATATGCCCTCCTAGCGGACGATTCTCCACGTGATACACTAGTTCAAGAGTTTACGATGCCATCCAATATCGGAGGAGTCCTTACGCCTCCATTGGTGAATGATCCTCTGCCGGGCTTGTATGGAAGTTTGGATACTTCTTTTTTAGGATTCATCGGCGGAGTGCCACGACCCATCTTGAGAACAGACTTATCAAACGCAGCCAGAGATAGGCCTTTTGGCTATGTTTCAAGTTTAGAAGTGATGTTTTTGGGGATCAAGGGTAATTGCATAATTCACTTGGATCTTGTACGTCGCCAAGCACCAATGATTACTAGTGCAGTAGATTACAGTGGTCTACACACCATACCGCTCACCATAAACGTATCCGCACCCGCCACCGGACTCTCCTCGTATACAATCTGTGGCAGCAACAACATCAGAGTTGCGTCACATCTCCAACTGCTTGATCTATCCAATGGTACTGGAGTACAACTTGATATAGTTGGCAATCTATCACTGGTTGATGTTCTGCGTCCGGGTTATGATTCAGGTAACCTCACTATTGATTTGTGTCTGACGGACAATGGCTTCAACAAGACATCTATGTACAACAATTCACTGTACACATCGCTACATACGGCTTCCGCTCGGCATACTATCACTCTGCCGTTGTCGCAAGGTAGGATATGTGTATGTGTGTGTGTGTGTGTGTGTGTGTGTGTGTGTGTGTGTGTGTGTGTGTGTGTGTGTGTGTGTGTGTGTGTGTGTGTGTGTGTGTGTGTGTGTGTGTGTGTGTGATGCCAGCTAGCTCAGTTGGTGGGTAACTTATGCCAGATAGTGTTGGGTATGTTGCTAACGGACTCGGCTGCTTGAAGATGTATTGTTGTACCTACCACCTTTATTGGTTTCAGGGTTCATTATACTTTCTATTTGAAGTATACATACATGTTAACCATGGACTGCTTCTGCCTGGATTAACTCTTGTGTAATCAATGGTGCTAGTGAAGTTTATATCAAATCCACTCTGATTCAGCCACCCACACTAGTAGCAAGTATTACCTTCACTGGGGGCAGGGGTAACTGCAGTTGGATTCTCGGACGGATACCCTGATGCCGTCAATCCTTTTTCTGCACCTTGTCCTCACCCACTTACTGAGGTATGGTGAGCCCATAAGTGGGATCATTTCAAGCCCACCCTAGTTTGGGGATTTCAGGGGATGTCGGCCGTTGGGCGGTTCAATGGCCAATTGAGTCATCTTTCCAAGATTCCTTTTGAGTTTGTTTGTTTGAAGTTTTATTTTACATCGCGAACCGAACGGGCATTGATGCCCAATATCATGATGGCGATAGCATAAAAAGTGTGGCTCGATAAAGCTTCAGTTACAAAAATGAGAAAACAGTCAAAAGGAAGTATTTGTAATATCAAAAAGTATTCTTTCTAGACCAAAGAGTGGTATATTTGATAACATTTAATAACGATAGAATTTTTTTTTTTTTTTTTAATGATACTTCTCCAGACGTTTCGTTGTTCTGAACAACATCGTCAGTGGATAAAGAATTCTTTATCCACTGACGATGTTGTTCAGAACAACGAAACGTCTGGAGAAGTATCATTAAAAAAAAAAAAAAAATTCTATCGTTATTAAATGTTATCAAATATACCACTCTTTGGTCTAGAAAGAATACTTTTTGATATTACAATGAGAGTGAATAATCAACGGCTTGTCCACCAACTCTTTGAAGTATTTGTACCGGTAATTACAAGTCAAGTTCGAACGAAGTAACAATCAGGGAGAAATAGGAAGATGAGGACCTATGCCATAGGGAGGTGCTATTCGGCCATATTAACCGTAGAAAAACACTTTGAGCAATCTTTTAAACGGGGTTGGACGACGAGCGGACGTGAGTTCCTGTGGCAGGGTGTTCCAAAGCTTCACGGCGGAAACCAATGGTCGGCTGTCACCAGATGTTCGCCGAGTTAGCGGAACAACGTATTTGCAATTGCCATTGCCACGGGTGTTACTGGGAGGTTGGAGTGCTACTCTATCTTTCAAAAGAGGGCTGATGCTGCTGGTGTGGACACGGTGCATAAGGAAACGGAGTTTGCATTTGGCACGTTCAATTACAGGGGTCAGGGAAAGGCGAGTGTATATAGAAGTGGTACGGGACGGGAAGGGCAGATTGGCTACGCAGCGAACACATCGCCTGTCGAGGACAGTGAGCTGGTGCCGCTGCTGAGCCGTGAGGGCAGCGAAGAGCGCGTTTAATCCATAAAGCATGTCAGAAAGTATAAGGGCAGAATAGAAGAGGAGCGACTGGCGTTCAGATAGCGACGGGCGGATGGTTCTCAGGGTGGTTACCTTCTGGGAAGTTCAACGTACTATGCTGGAGACCTGCGCGTCCCACCGAAGACAGGAATCGATCGGTAGGCCCAGAAAGCGAGCAGTGGTGGTCTGGGTGAGAGGCGTCCCGTTGCAGTTAACGTTGAGTACCAGGGTACTACGGCGTGATGCCTCAATGGCTAAGACCTGCGTCTTGTCAGGGTTTAAAACCAGGCCTTTCCCGTGTAGGTAGTCAGCCAAGTTTGACACAGCAACTGATAAGACTTGATTTAGGGTTGCTACGGATCTGCTTGCGGTGTCGAGAAGGATGTCATCCGCAAACAGCTGGGAGTGTGCTGGGCTGGTGACGCTATGGACGTCCATGGTGTATAGTGAAAACAGCAAAGGACCCAGTACACTACCCTGAGGGACTCCACACTCGCATGCAGTTAGGCCCGAGCACTGCCCACTCGCCAGAACTACTCTCTCTCGACGGTCCGTGAAGTAGCTCGCAAACCAACGCAAAACAGTCGAAGATACACCCAAAGCAAACAAATCTTGGATCATGAGCTGGTGCCGTACTTTATCGAATGCCTTGCTGGTGTCCACTAGTACTGCGCCAGTATGTAGCTGATGGTCTGCTGACGACAGATAGCGGTCCATGGCCAAGGTCAAGGCATCTTCCGTGGAGTGTTGTGGCCGGTACGCAAACTGATTGGCGGGCAAAAGTGAATGGGTTTGTAAGAAGTCACACAGGCGTTTGTGGACTATCTTCTCCAAGATCTTCGATGCTACTGGCAGCAAAGATATGGGACGGTAATTGCGAGATGCGTTCTTGTCACCAGACTTAAATAGGGGTCGAACATTTGCAATCTTCAGGGAGACGGGCACAATGCCAGACGAAAGGGATGCATTAATTAATATGGATAGCGACGGGGCGAGGGCTGCTGCACAATGCTTCAGGATGAATGCCGGAATACTGTCGCTGCCCTCAGCTTTACGAGCATCGAGTCTCACGAGAAAGGTGAATACCTCCTCAACACTAGTGGCCTGGAATTCCCGCAAAGGTTCCCGTGGTGACGGACCACAAGGTAAGGATAGCTGCACAGGTCTACTTGGATCGGAGACTACTCCACTGAATTGCTCGCTGAGTGCTGCTATACTGACAGAGGGTGGAGTGGAAGTTTTGGTCCGGCCGCTGAGCTCGTTTATTGTCTTCCAAGTGAGGCGCGCATTTGCCTGACTCCGTGTGAGAAGATTCTTGTAATACTGGGCCCTGAGGCGTCGGGACATTCGCTTAGCCTCGGCTCGTGCTGATGTGAATACAGTTCGCAGATCCATGTCAGTCGGCGAGGCTCATGTCTTGAAGATTGTGGCAAAAATACATTTGAATTGCATCATTGTGCATTTTATTTCATGATTTTTAATCTTGGAAAAGGTGGCGAGGTGACAATAATTTAAGGATTGCAGTAAACAGAACCAGCTGAAGCGTCCTTTGAAGAATGTTTTATTGAGATGTCCCGGACAAATTCTAGAGAAAGTGGGAAAATATGTTAATAAAAAATGCATGAAACTAGCGAACTTCGTTAACCAGTACAACGATGCTTCCTGATGAGCGTTGTACGAAAGATAGTTTGATTCATTGTTATATTTTTATCGTTCCTATTATTGTTCTTCACATTACATTTCCATCATAGTTATTTCTTTGCCCAATACAAATTTCTCTAGAATTGATTCTAGACATCTCAGTAAAACCTTCGCGAAATGACACATCAGCTGGTTCTGTTTATTGCAATCCTTGCATTTTCAATCTTGTTCAGTCATTATCTGCAACGCCCCAGTGATTGGTAACGGAACACGAGACAAGGGGATTGTCAAATTTGGAGGTGCTGTTCAATATTCGTGTAATGCTGGCTTCCGTCTACAAGGTGATGGATCACCAAACTGTACAGCTGGTGGGAATCTGACATCAATGCCTACATGTTTTTGTAAGTATGTGCAAAAAAGCTTTGACAAACCTCACGTACTGTGTGCTTGTCAAAATTAATACTGCTGACATGAGCCCTTTCTCCTTCAACATCACAAATCGATATCTGGAGGACAGTGTTAGGTAGCTGGGAAGCTTATACCGCCCTGGGATGAATTTCTGTTGTCTGGGAAATGCCAGAAGCGAAGCACACATTTTAGAATTTACCGCAAGTTCTCAAACACCATGATAAATTGTCAGAAACCTTTCGGCTTTGGCAGGTTTAGGCGCTTTCCTGTGTGTTTGCCATATAAGGGTCAATGGACATATTCCTGTTTTCTGGATAGCTGCTATGAGTCAGCAGGGGACTGTGGGGTCAATAAATTTGGGCTGGAGTATTGACACATGTCATATCCTGAAGACTTTTACCACCAAAATGTTAAGTATTTAAACAATCGACGAGGAGACAATAGTCGTAAAATGGCAATAAATAAGATAAATTGTGCACTCATAACAACAGCAAAAATGAAGAAAGTCAAGTTCCATAACGTTTTCTTGTGACTGTCATCAGTGGAACGCCGTCACATAAAAATGTAATAACTAAAACACACACTTATATACATGTAGCTAATATGGTTTCAGGTAGAAATACAGCAGCTAACAAGTACAAAAAGCGAAGTTTGCACCTTTGCAATGTGTGAATATAGTGTATGTGAGAAAGGTAGTGGCAGATGAATGTGATACTGTGTGAATGAATGTAATGGTGCGTGTGTATTACTTGAAGAGTGTGAGTGATACAACGTTTTCTTTCTGTTTACATAGCACAGGGTCACGAGTACGAATATACACAGCTTCCAACACCTGCAATTGCTTGAAGAAACGTGCGCAACGGATAACACTAAACCAGGAATCGTCAAACACCTTACGACATTCTGGACTGGACACCAAATGCTTGTACACTGCAGACTTCCTCTTGTCAACATCAAACTCCTCCTCATCACTACTCTCATCCTCCACCTCCATTCCAATGCCGCCGTCCATCCCATCGCACTCGTATTCGTCGTCATCAGTCTCCATCTCCTCGCGACACCGCTTCCCTCTCCTTGATTCGTTCTGTGCCGTGCCTGTGCTTCCTCCTGCGTCTCCTTGCCTTGTGCTCTCCACTTGTCTCAGTCGTGCCTCTGCTAGTCTCTTGCTTCTCCTCGGTTCTGCTCTGTTTTCAAGTTTTTCCCTTCCGCTCTTACATGTATATAAGTGTGTGTTTTAGTTATTACATTTTTATGTGACGGCGTTCCACTGATGACAGTCACAAGAAAACGTTATGGAACTTGACTTTCTTCATTTTTGCTGTTGTTTTGAGTGCACAATTTATCTTATTTATTGCCAAAATGTTAAGTGTATTATTTTTCTGCCATTATATGACATGATCTTTTGCAGCTATTGCCTGCAATGCTACTATGATTGCTAACGGAACACGTGACAAAGGGATTGTCCAATTTGGAGGTGCTGTTAAATACTCATGTAATACTGGCTTTCGTTTACAAGGTGATGGATCACCAAACTGTACAGCTGACGGAAACCTGACATCACTACCTCGATGTATTCGTAAGTATGGGCAAAGAAGCTCTGCTAAACCTCACCACCAATTGAATGGCACTGAATGATCGGTGTATGCCTGAGTGGGAATCTTGCAAGACAAACCAGTCAAAGCATTGTGTTCCTCTGGTATCAATGTGTTGCGAGATCAAGTTAATTTACTAACAAGTATATATATATGTACAGGTCCTCCATCGTTAGTAGATAACCTCTGGGCCATAACAAAAGTTGTCTTGTAATGAGACTTATCTTGTGACAAGACTTTCAGCTAAAGGTGAAATAGATTCTAATTCTTACTGACCTTGGCTATCCTCGATACAACATAAATTGTCGACGCCTCAACTGGTTATAAATAAGATAATTGAAAAATCTCCAGCTTAGCTCTTCCCATATGTCACGTGATGGTCGCCTTGGAGTTTACCAATGACAGATCAAACAGCACGGGCTGGAAAGCGCGGTCTTGCCTGCTCAAAGGTGATGGAACTGGATCCACTGCCCGTCGTCAAGTGACGACGGGCAGGAACGGATTCCACTGCCCGTCGTCACTTGACGACGGGCAGGAACGCACTCCACTGCCCGTCGGGCAGAAGCCACTGGACTGACTCTCTACTTCAAGGTCTTTCACTGGAACTGGGAGAAAAGAAGCCCCTTCGTTGAACTATATTGGCGATGTGAATGAGCTCCTCCGAAAAGTTGAGGAAGAGACTGAAACTTTTATTGCGGAGTCGCTCACGAAGGAGATCTTGGACGAGCCGGACGAGCCTCAACCAAAGCGCGCAATGCTCAGCAACCTGCAGGATCCGCGCAATTTGCCGCGGATTCCGATCAAGACGTGGGAAAAATCGGTAGGAACAGAACAGTCAGAATGCCCGACGCCCAGTCGACAATGTCCATGGCACCGCGAGAAAAAAAGCAATATGGACTACTACAAAAAACTGTAGAATCCACCAGAAAACAATCACAAAACACAATGCAGGTCACTGGTGTGTCTGTCATGTATCTCTTTATCTGGCTTGGGTACACACGGGAAACACGTTCCAGTCACTCATACTCGGCCAGTACCGCTGTTCATCCAGCCCTTGCCGCTATCGTGGCGCGAGCTGGATTCCGCGGTACTGCCCTCGTACTCGTGCAGGAACCTGCACTTCCTTGGATGCAAACGATGATCCATATCTACGACAAAATAGATATAATAAGTTGTGTCTTTCTGTTTTCTGCTATGTGTTTTGGCCTTGGTCCTGAATGGGCAATATCATCTTATAGTGAGGGTTTGGCACTCCAGGGACCTGGGCAGGGGTCGTTATAACGAATTTTATGTACTAACGAATCATGTTATAACCGGACCTGTAAACAGTGGTACAGACTATGTTTCGCCAGGGGATTTCAGATTTCAATTTACTATCGGGGTTTGTGTACTAAGTTGACTCGTTATAATGACCGAGGACCTGCACGTGTATGCCTGAACAATTTACTTGGAGACAAGAATGCAAAGATACTGAGAAAAATGACACACTTCAGGCTCTTGAACATATTGAAATTTGTCACTAATATATTTCATTATGATCGCCAGCCTATCTTCAGGTGAAATACAGGCAAAATCAAATGAACATGGACAATGTAATAAATACAGCAGAGAGGTGATAGAAACAGCACAAATGCCAAAAATCAGGGTGACCTACCAAATACCTGTAAACTGCTGACAGTGTACAGGGTGACCAACCAAATACCTGTAAATTGCCGGCCGTTTACAGGTACAGTCGTCCCTCTCTAATCCGGCACTTTATAATCCAGCACCCTCGATAAACCAGCACAATTTTCAGTAGCCAAATGTCCTCTTCATGCACATTGCAGCAGTAAATCAGATTTGTTAATCCAGCACCCTCCCTAATCCAGCAGATTTTCGTGGCACAAATGGTGCCGGATTATAGAGGGACCACTGTATTTGGTAGGTCACCCTGATTGTTGTCATTCATACTCAGATTCTTCTTTCACTGTGTCATGTTGTGCTAGTCATACTCATATTATGCAGCTTAAAGTTTAGAGGCAATTTTAATTCACTTGGACAAGCCAGTGTTGTGTGTACAGAAGGAAAGTGATATCATCCTCAAACTGTATTTATAAAAGTAGTAGTTTAGTGCGAGTGTGGTGAGTGTGATTGCCCCCCCCCCCACCCCACCCCACCGTTCACACTTCCTTTCGTCTATTCAGGTTTGCTTTGGTTTGCTGATGCTGATGATGATTCACACCGGCATGTTGTTACCTGCTTAAATTCTCCCCCGCTAAATACATGTAGTACAATCACCTTTTGTTTCGCTCTTTTTCCCTTTCTTTCATTTTATTTGTCCAGATAAGATTAGTTTCAAGTACAAGTAATCCCCATTCCATTGTTATGTAGATTCACTGATGATTATAACAAGAAAACAGTTCTGACCTAATTCTCTCTTTCCCTTTCGTTGTGTGCCTTGCGATCATAGTATAACATTTTACACATACATTTTCGATATTATAGGAAATTCTGACAGTACACTTAGTCCTCTTTGTAGCTATGCTAAAACTGGTGTATCCGAAACGTTTGTTTATTTTAATCATGTTCAGCCATTACCTGCAAAGCCTCAATAATTGCTAACGGAACACGTGACAAGGGGATTGTCCAATTTGGAGATGCTGTTCAATACTCGTGTGATGCTGGCTTCCGTTTACAAGGTGATGGATCACCAAACTGTACAGCTTATGGGAACCTAACATCAATACCTGGATGTATTTGTCAGTACCAGTACTGAGGCAAAGAAGCTGTGACGCATCTCACCAATAATTGAATGGCAGGGAAATAATGGTGAAGAGAGCTATTTCTGCTTAAACATCAAAAAAGAAAAATGAGAGTACATTGTTAGGTACTTCAAGTAGGTGGGAAGTTGTACCGACCTGAGATTATTTGAAATTGTCTTGCAGACTTCGGAAGCGAAACACACCCTTCAATAAGTCTGACCAAAAACTCAAATTCAATGAAGAATTGTCCGAAACGTTTTGCATTTAGCAGGAGAGTGGTTTTTTCTTGTGGGTTTGCCTTGTGAAGCTTCATTGGACATGTGATGTCTGAGTTGCTGCCATGAGCTTGTTGGAGACTGTGGGGTCAATATGGATGATCGGGTATATCACGATATCTTGAAGTCTTTTATTTTTTATTTTTTTACTATTGACACAGCCCTACTGGAAAACAGGTGGAGAACAAAAAGAAACGAGGAAAAGGACAAAACATAGGGGATGTAGGGACGCCGTGCTGATGTGCTGGGAGCAACTCAACCGACCAGAGGTCTCGGCGTCAGCGTTGCAACTAGGCATCGAAAAATGTGTGTGTGTGTGGGGGGGGGGGTTGGGGTTGCACAAGAACAACTGCAAAACAAACAGAAGCTAGAGAATACCGCAAATAATAACTTGGTGCGAAATAATGAGAAGAAAATAATGACGCCCAAAAGCGCCAAATACGAAATTAAGAAAAAGGAAAATAATAAACCACATAGCGCTAAAGCTGCACCAAATAATAATTTAAAATATAACTAAACCGGGTGGGAAACCAAGAAATCATAACAAACAAAACAAACTAAATAAAAAATTAATAATAAAAGGTAAATGAAGCCCAATATCATCAGCAGAGCCGAACCAAGGAACATGACCCGTGCCACAGCCAGGAGTTCATCCGTAGAAGTCGGTAGCCATCAGCCAGTGTTGGTGCGTGAGGTACTTATGGACATCTTCTTTGAACGTGTGGAGCCGCTTCAAGCTGAGTACAATTTTGCTTGGCAAGCTGTTCCATACTGAGGCTACAGAAAACGGGAAGGAGCGAGAAGCATAGGCAGGTGCTCTCCTGTCCAGGACTTGCTGCAGCTACACATGGTGCTGCTGGCCAGGAGGGGGTTGACTCCGGGTGCGCCGAGCTTCTACATGGTTGGCTGGAGGTGGGATCATGGCGGTGAGCTGGGGTGGTCCTGGGATGCACTGGAGCTTGTACAGGTATACCAGCCCAGATACAATCCGGCGGTGGCACAGGCTTTGGAAAAGGGCAACAGGGCCAATAATGGCCATTGCACGTTTCTGTACACGGTCGAGTCGGGCGAGGTGGCTGGATGCAGCTCCCATCCACACAAGGGGAGCATACTCGAGGATGGGTCGCACAAATCCCTTGTACGCACAAAGCCGGCCATGGTAATCTAACACCCGGCAAGCCCGACGGAGAACACCCAGTCTCTGGCAGCCACTTGTCGCAATTGAGTGCAAGTGATCCCGGAATGACAGCTTGGCGTCAAATGTCACTCCAAGAAGCTTGATGGTGTTGGCTTCCGGAACAACGAAACCTCCAAACTTGATGTCAGGGACAGCAGGGTGTGTGGCTTTCGTAGTCATCAGCAGCTGTTGCGATTTAGAGGGCTCGAATCTGATGCGCCAGCGTTCTCCCCACTCTTCAAGACGCTTGAGGCTGGATTGCAAGGCGGCAGTCATGTCATGCATATTGTCCTGCGTGCGGATGAGGCTGTAGAGGGTTGTGTCGTCTGCAAAGGAACTTAGGCGCGTCTCGGGAGACAGGCACTGATCCAGGTCAGACACATACAAAGAGGAAAAGTGTCGGGCCAAGGACACTGCCTTGGGGCACACCTGCTGTTATGGGCGCCGGAGAGGATGAGTCGCCGTGGACGAGGACTGATAGTTTGCGGTTCAGGAGGTAATCCTGCAGCCAGTGCAGTAGGCAGCCACCAATGCCAACGTTCTTGGCTTTGAAAATCAGCCCAGAGTGTGATACCCGATCAAATGCTCCTGCTATGTCCACCGCCACCATGTGAGCGTACCCTCCATCGCTGACAGTCTTGACCCACTCAGTGCGCAAAGCAGTGAGGATGTTGCACGTGCCTCTTCCTTGCCGAAAGCCATATTGACTGTCGGGCAGAATATTGAAACGCTCCAGATAATCCACGAGCTGCTTGTTTACTATGCTCTCCATTACTTTTGACAGGATGGATAGTAGTGAGTGTAGTATCCCTGCCCGACCAATACGGAAGCAGTACGGAACTAATACGGAGCTTTGCCTGATGTATATTTAGTGTATCTCCGTATGTAAGCGTACGGCAGCTGCTGCATAAAAGCGGCTGCGCATTTCTGTTTTGATGAAGATGAGATTTTGATAATAACGAGCTATTCAACCTCCAGGTGAGCACCGGAGAGAAAGTCAGTTATTTTGCCGTTCCTTCTTTCATTAACGATTATATCTCAGGTGTGTACCTGAAAGTAGAATAAAAGTAATTATTGTTAATTGCACCGCGCCTACCACTCGGCTACCTATTACAGTGAGACTGGCCGGTAATTCTTGGGATCCGAGCATGAAGACTGGAAGCACATGGGCCAGCTTCCATTTGGTAGGTTGAACACCGTGGCGAAAGCAGAGTGAGAACAGTTTGGTGACTGGTTCTGCAAACTCACTGCAACACTGAGCTAGGACTCTTGCTGGAATATTGTCAGGTCCTGTTGCCTTCGATGTATTCAGCTTGGCTAGACGGCGGCGTACATCAGCAAGCCGGAAATGGATGCGGTCAAGACCATGGCGGTCCAAATGCTGCATTTCTGGCAGATCGTCTGGAGAGATGCCATCATCTGCAAGGCTACACTTCTGGGAGTAGTACCTGGCGAGGCAATTGGCCTTGGCTTGGCGAGTTGGATACTCTGTGCCATCGGTGTCCTTCAGCAGAGGTATCTCAGAGGCACGTTCCATCCCAGCAGCTCTCTTCATGTTGGACCACCATTGCTTGTCGTTAAGTGAGCCTGAGCTGAGCTTAGCTTTGACACGAGCATCATGTGATGATTGGGCGCGCAGCAAAATAGCAGCTGTTCGGGCCGATCGATGAATGAAGCTCGCAAATCTCCATCATCGGGGTGCTGACGCCACCGTTTCCATGCACGAGTCTTTGCTTGAACTACAGTGCTGCACTCAGGTGTCCACCAACAAGGGTCTGTCGTCCGTACTGTCAGGGTCTTAGATGGTATAAACGTGTCCATTCCCTCCAGAATTACAGTTGTGAGTTGTTCACAAGCAAGTTCGGGGACATCGCAGACGACAGCAGCCCAGTCAAAGCTGCGGAAATGTGCCCTCAGTCTGCCCCAGTCTGCTTGGCCATAACGCCATACTTTCCTGCTTGTTGGCCGCTCCAGTGCAGGAGTGATTTCCTGAAAGTTGGACAATACTACACAGTGGTCAGAGCGCCCGATGGGAGATGATACTGCTGTGTGGACAGTGCCAGGAAAGTCGGACAAGACGAGATCCAATGTGTTTGGCCCACGGGTTGGCTGGGTCACGTGCTGGACAAGGCAGTGTGTTGCACTGATTTCTTCCAAGAACTCCCCTGCGATTGCCGTTCGAGAGCTGCCAATCCAGGACGTGCTGTGAACATTAAAATCTCCAGCCAGAATCATGTGCTTACCATGCTGCCGCATGGTATCTATGTTTTGGTCTAAGTGCTCGAGTAGAGCCAGATCATTGTCAGCGCAGGAACCAGGGCGATAGACTGCACCTATGACAGTTTTGCTGTTGCACTGGCCAACTGTGAGCCAGGCTGTTTCGAATTCAGCAGACTGGTACTGATCCAGATGCTGGTACGCGATGCCGGCTTTGATCCAGACTCCAATGCCACCTCCGTGTTGCGTTCGGTCTCGGCGAATCGGGCCACAGTATCCCGGGATGATGGATGCACTGTGAGAGCATTTATCCACTGTTAGTTTCGTCTCAGTCACTATGGCAACATCCGCACCTGAGAGCAACAGAGTGTGGTGAAACTCTCCGAATTTGGACAGCAGCCCGCCTGCATTGGTCAGGAGGAGCTTAATGATTGCTGGCTGTCTGCATTCAGTTGTTCTTGCTCGGCAGACTCTTGCCGCTGGAGGTCTTCGTCCAGTTTCTTGAGCAGTGGGCTGCCGGAGTCAGGTGAATCCCCATGCCGCCGCTTGCGGTGAGGAGGCAATGGTGTCAGGTCGGAGCTGTGAGTGGCTGAGTCCTTGCCTGACTTCTTCGACAGCATAGACTGTCCATTTCCCTTTCCTGGCACTGGCCCATGACGTTTTTCATGGAATGTCGACTCTCTCGCATACAGTGGTCTAGGCCAAAACTCTACTAGCGAAGACAGGTAAAATGAATAATTTTGTACGCTATTATTGTGACTTGGTCTTTTGCAGCCATTACCTGTAAGGCACCAGTGATAGTTAACGGAACACGTGACAAGGGGATTGTCAAACTTGGAGGTGCTGTTCAATACTCGTGTGATACTGGCTTCAATTTACAAGGAGATCGGTCACCAAACTGTACAGCTGATGGAAAGCTGACGTCAATACCTGCATGTATTCGTAAGTATGAGCAACTGAGAAGCTCTGACAAACGACACCAATTGAATGGTACACATAGTGCTGCAGTGAGATATTTCCTCTCTGACATCACAAGTGGACAACTGTAGGACAGTGTTTGGTAACTGGGAAGTTTAGACCGTACTAAGGTTCTTTGCATTATTTTGTTTTGGAAACATCCGAAACGAAACGCACACTTCAATTAGTCTGGTAAATCGCTCAATTTCAATGATGACTTGCCAGAAACCTTTTTTTGCACTTAGCCGGGATAGAGGCTTTCCTTTCCGTTTGCGATAGGAAGGTTTAATGTTCTCTGGGAAGCAGCCATTGGTCGGCAGGAGACTGTGAGGTCAAAAACATTTGACTGGAATATTGACAGATGTCATGTCTTGAATACTAACAAGAAAAACATATGAAGTGCATCATTTTTCATCCTTTTACCATGTTTTGTAGCCATCACCTGCAAGGCCCCAGTGATTGCTAATGGAACACGTGACAAGGGAATTGTCACATTTGGAGGTGCTGTTCAATACTCGTGTAATGCTGGCTTCCGTTTACAAGGTGATGAATCACCGAACTGTACAGCTAATGGAAACCTGACATCAATACCTGGATGTAGTTGTGAGTATGAGTAAAGAATCTTTGACGAACTGGACCAATGGTCTTTATGCAAGTTGTACAGATGGACGAAGTTTTGTACAAGTACTAGGTTTGTAGGGGTCCAGTTAGGTGTTCATTGTGTGCTATGCTTTCACATCGGACCAATTCTCGCCTCATAAGAAATGGCAAAATATCGCTTTCGCAGCTTCTTCACTTTGGATAGAACTAATTTATAAACGTTATCGTGTGAAAATGCCTTCAGGGCCCATCTCTTAGTGGTAATAGCAGTAAACACAAGAGGGTCCTGCACATTCAACACACAGCCAGGTATATGGGATTCTGCATGTAAAAGGCTTATCGAATGGCAATGAAATAAATAATGCTGAAGTAAGTTATTTCTTCTTCAAAATTATACTTGGTCCGACTTATTAAAAATGTGCGCTTCGTGTCCGAAGGCTGCCAAACTAATTCAAATAATCACAGCACGAATTAAACTTCCAAGCTACCTAACAGTGTCCTTTAATCATCGATTTCTGATATTGAGGAAGGATTGGCTCGAACTCTAAAGGAGACAGTGCCTCGAACTCCTGGTCGACTCGTGCATTTCGCGTTCACATGTTGTCGTCAGAGGACTCCTGTTGCTCCACGCGCAACACTGAGAAGACCTGTTGCTGATATCAAGACCCCAGTGCGATGGAGAATTGTCACGAGTACCAGAAACTCCTAAACGATCGTCCTTGATTCCCTCATGGCGTACTGAAATGGCTGCATTCGCTGTTTCCTTGGCAGAATTTCAGCAAACGCATCATCCAAAAACTCGTGCAGCAGCACAAGCATCGGGTCGTCCAGTTTACTGATGTCTCTCGCAGTCGTCCAAGATGTGGTGGCAGACGGATTAAGATCGCAGAAGAGATCGATGAGAAGCTGATCGAAATAAACAACCACCCCTGGAGTCGCTTCTCACGCGAAAAACTGGCTGGAAACTGAAACGAATAAAGAGAGATTTTTTCTGCGCATACTGTGCGTGGATCGTGCGGAGTTTTCGGAGGCGCTAGGCGCTAGGCGTCATCGTTCATCAAGCCTATGGCAGTGGCCCATCGATTCGTAACAATGAGCGCGCACGATCTGACTGTATGACACAGACTGTCAGTACGCGGAACACGGAGATGAGAAGTGATTTTTTGGTGCGTGGAGGTCTACCTGTTCGCCTCATTTGAAGGTATCGTGGGAATGTTGGCTGAATACCCCTACAGCTACCATTCTGGCAGTTGCACTGCACGAGGAGGAGGCGAAGGCGATTGTCAAAATCGGGCCTGGATTGGAAAAATCAAGGAAGCGCAGCGTAGCTTGAAGGAGACAAAAACTATCCATTTTTTGCAGGGTGCAGCACTTGCAGATGCGCCCAGAGACAACAGCAGCGATGAAAACTAGAAGGTCAGCTCAAGAGACGATACAGTAGTTATCTATCTACTGTCTCTTGATAGATTTTTTAGTTCTGGTGCCCATTTGTACAAATGCTTGAGTTTTGAAGCAAAGCGCACATTTTACTAAGTCGGACCAAGTGTTAGGTAGCTGGGGAGATTAATCCTTGCTGAGTTTATTTTCATTAAACAAGGGCGGCTCGGCCATGACCTGGGCGGTCTGCTGGTCCCTCAACGTGACGCCACGACTCTGCCACCACTGGACACACGCGTCTGGGACTGGCTCGATATGCAAATCGAAGTCCAGCTTCTCGTACGCTCGGATAACATGCGTCCTGCCGTCCAACCCAGTCACGCGGATCTGGTACAACCGGAACTTGGCCTCGAATTCCGTGCCATCGAACGACCGCACGTCATCCAGTGGCAGGCCACCTTCGGCAGTCGGACAGCGTGGACCAGCGCCGATGACACAAAGGAAGCTTGGCTACCAAGGTCGACGAAGACAGGCACCTTCGCTCGCAGGGTTTCACCTTGCACCTCGCCCACGGCCCTCTTCAGGCGCACCGGGGGTCGTTAGCTGTCCGTCTGGCAGCTTTACGACACCTGCTCGCCGCGCGCATGCAGCATTGGGTGTTGCCCCCCGTGGCACTGGTCGCACTGTGTATGTAAGCTGAGCACAATCATGCAATAAATAGAACAAATGATGCCAACATAAGAGTTACCGTATGCTAACAATCATGTTCCACTTTTTCTTTTGGTTTACATTTTTCCTTTTCTGATTTTCTGGGTTTGAATTAAATTTGTATTGCATTTTCAAAAACATATGTTCCTTTTTTTTTTGAACGGCTGTGAAATACATGCGCGCGGGGGACGGGAAACTTAGATAAAAAACTGTGTGGCCTAAATTATCCCTAAAATTCTTCATTGTGGCTCAATTTGATTAAAATAAAGTGCCAAATGTTCATAGTAGACCCTTGATGATGTGGAAAGTGAGAAATGCCAGGTATGATGTTTCTTGTGGAGTTAGAGACCAATATCTGATGAAAATCACACAAAATATACGAACATTTTGAGGTTGCGATTTTCAGAAGAATGAGTTCAGTGACACCTTTCTTTCTTTGAGATTTGCATCCTTCATACATTTTTCCTTCGATTCAGCCTCTCTTTTGTCAAAAAATAACCCTTTGCGGACTGGTGCCGCACATGTGCGTCAAAACGTCATACCCTGATTTCCTGATGCCGCATAATGTGCATCAAGTAAAAGCGCATACTTGTACGTTGCATATACACCACTGTTCAAATTTTCGTAACTCCATTGGCCTTTATCCGATCGTCGCGAATGATGGCTCATTGGAAAGGTGAGAGAATAAGCTTTCCAGTGGTATGTTGGTTGATATAGCGCGGTGCGCAATAACTGAGTATTGAAGAAACGAAACACGGATACGCTTGAAATTGTTTCGAAAATTTGTACGCAGAGCGCTTCAAAGTGCGTCGGCGTGCCTCAAACGGGGACTTTTCCGGTGACTCTTCGCTGCACAGCGCATGCGGAGTAGAGATCAAATGAATCGCTTGAGCTTCACGAATCTGCAGGATTTTGAATCATCGTTCTACGTTGAGTAAAAATTGAGAAACGATAAAATTTGTGGTGGGTACAGAATCTCGCTCAGGCGCAATAGGGCAGCCCTCAACAGGCTTGAAGGCGATTCTGTTGCTCCTGCTTGGTGTCTAGTGGCGATATTCAGAGAGAGGACATCTGTAGCTTTCCAATGACACCAAAAAGAAATAATTACTTTGAAGTACGAAACTGGTGAGTGAAATTAGATAATTTTCATATGCATACTGGGGCTATTGCGTATGGCAGGGCGGCCGGTGGCAGGAATCAGGGGATTTAGCACCAGACTAGGCCACCTAGAATTAATTCGTTGTTTCGGGTCACTTCACTCATCCGTACCAGGGTCGGTCGGTGGGTTTTATTTTTTATTTTTATATATTTTTTATTTTGGTTTCTGCCATGTGCATACATGTACATGTACATGACACAACTGTGCATATCGAATATCTAAGCTTTTGTCCATCAAGCCAGACTATGAAATTTGACTGTAGACGATCCAGCCCAGTCTCATCAGGTCCAGGTCTCCCCCAGGACCAGCCAGATCTTGGCCTCCCTGACAAACGAGTCTGACGAGCAGCTCCAGTTCTATGAGGTGTGACACAGGCAGAACACCAAAAAATCAAGTGTGGGGATCAGCACCAGTTGTAACTTGGCGGACCAAGTATGTACATTATAAATGGCCAGATGAGGGACATTGTTAGCTGGTAGCTGGCAGTTAGCAGGTAGCCCTTTCTCAAAGGTGCTCGCCCTTTTTTCGCCCTTTTTGGCCCTTTTGGAAAAGCCCGTTTCTTCCGCATTTTATATTTATATTTATAAAGTTGATTGTTCCAACTACTAAGTTCGTTTATACTTTATATTTATATTTACTCAATCTGCGGACAGAACTGTTTCGTCCTTTGTGGACTCGCCAGCGCAGCACAGAGGAAATGAGGCCGAACCTGATAGCAATGGAAATAAAAATTTCCAATCAGGCCCGGAGAGTGCTCAAACTGACAAGTCAGTGAGCTCTGCATAACGCAAACAGCAAAGGCACTACCCCACGCAAGAGTGCTCAACTGCTACAAGAGCAGAAGCGAAATACTCAATCTGCGGACAGAACTGTTTTGTCCTTTGCTGATGGGCACCTGACATCAATACCTGGATGTATTTGTAAGTGCAGGCAAAGAAGCTCTGATAAACCCTACGAATCTACAAACAAGTCGATGGTGTCGCGATGGGTTCGCCCCTTGGTCCAGTGTTGGCAAACGTGTTTGTCGGTTTCTGTGAATCGAAAATTGATGACTCATTGTGGCCTGACCTTTATGTACGTTTCGTGGACGACTCATTCACATATTTTGATATTGAGGACCGTAGTAACGCGTTTCTTGACGTGCTAAATAGTATTCACCCTTCACATGTGAGCATGAACAGTCCAACAAGTTGTCATTTCTAGATGTGCTGGTGGAAAAAACGAGTAGTGACGTTCTGAAAACCGTTTATCGTAAGCCGACGTTTACTGGTCAGTACATTGTATATGACTCTTGATGTTCTTCCCAATATAAAGTAAACTTAGTGCGTAACCTTGTAGATCGTGCGGAGCGTATTTGTTCATCCTGTAAGCTGCAGGAGGAGCTTGACTTTCTCCGGTCAGTTTTCGTTAAGAACGGGTACCCTGAGTGTTTTTTGCAGAAGTTGTTGAAAGTCGAACAAACTACTAAGGCTCCTTTGAATGGTCCTGCTAGTTGTCCCGTCTATTTATGTTTGCCTTGGAAAGGACAGGAGTCGACTAAAGTTTGCAGTGCAGTCAAATCTGTACTATGCAGTACACTTTGTGCCCGTCTTCACGACGATGCGTGCGTTTACGGTGAGGAAGGATGTCCTACCAGCCCTTCACCTTAGTCATCTTATTTACAACGTGGAATGCCGACAAAGCGCTAGTCGGTATGTTGGTAGAACTGTTCAGCACCTGAACGCACGCATCAAAAAACGCACACTATGTCACATACTTC